AAGAGCAATCCATTTTGTGATTTTTCAGCCAGCAGATTCATCTCAGTACTTGTTCAATTTTGACAGTTCTCCGTATGAGTTTGAAGCAGTGTACCTTGTTTGTTTAGCACACATCTTTGAAATTATATTCATTCCTGTACTGTATTCAAAGCTGCACTTTGTCTAAATTGGAGATGGTAACAGCATAAACCCATTGTGGTTTACACTGAAAGAATAAACTCCTCATTTATACTCTACATGTGTGTCCAAATATACCAAGATTAATACTAAATAAAGCTCATCCTGTAGTCAAGCAAGCACAGGCTTAGCCATCATTCTCACCTCGTTCATACAGTAGCTTTGTTTCAGCTTCTCACAAAAGCACTGAGGACAATTTTTACTGTTTACTTTCTTTCCACTTCTCTTCTGCATTTCCAAGGTTAGCCTGTTCTCAGTCTCTTCTCATGCAACAGATAAGCTAAGCATCTCAGAAAGCAGGCTTTCTAGCTGCTTTGCTCATTCTTCCTTTCTCAATTATATTATTCAAATGCAAGTTATTGATCATTATAATACCCTCATAAACCCTAAGGTGGAATGTAAAATACACTGCACTAAGATGGGAACAAATCGCTTTATTTAATCACAGAATCACAGAATCGCTCGGTTGGAAAAGCCCTCTGAGATCATCACGTCCAACCGTTCCTGTCTACCCCCTAAACCATATCCCTAAGTACCTCATCTACCCGCTCTTTAAACACATCCAGGGATGGTGACTCCACCACCTCCCTGGGCAGCCTGTTCCAGCCTCTGACGACCCTCTCAGTAAAGAACTTCCTCCTTATCTCTAACCTGAACCTCCCTTGGCACAGCTTGGTGCCGTTTCCCCTTGTTCTATCCCCCATCACCTGGGAGAAGAGACCAGCACCCACCTCTCTACAAGCTCCCTTGAGGTAGTTGTAGGTGGTGATGAGGTCTCCCCTCAGCCTTCTCTTCTCCAGGCTAAACAAGCCCAGTTCCCTCAGCCACTCCTCATCAGGCTTGTTCTCCAGAGCCCTCCCCATCCTTGTGGCTCTTCTCTGAACACGCTCCAGAATCTCAACATCCTTCTTATAGTGAGGGGCCCAGAACTGAACACAGCACTCGAGGTGCGGCCTCACCAGTGCCGAGTACAGGGGATGATCACCTCCCTGGACCTGCTGGTCACACTGTTTTTAATTTTGATGTTCCCTAAGATGGAACATTATTTTACAGGTACCAGCCATGAAAGTATTGTAATAATGATAACATGGCAGGTCTTCATGACACTTTTCTAGGTGTTCCTACCCACTACATTCTGCATTTGGTTAAATGTAATGTAGAGAGGATGCGTGTTCAAATACACCCTGATTAACGCATCTTCTCAGACTTAAATAGTAGCGCAACTACAAAATCTTCCCTATTTACTTTAGAAAGTATGCTTAGTGCTGCTGGCTCACTAGTTTTTAACTTGACTCCAGAAGACACTCTTCAGATAGCATTCCTTTTCAATAGCCTACGTTCTAAGAAGTAATTTTGTTGCTGATTCCTCAGCTTCTGTGGAACAGTTACTGTTGCTTAAAGTGAGCCTAAAAATACTTGTCTAATATTTATGTAGAAAAAAGCACAAAATCATGAAAAATACCACATGCATGGATAGCTCAGGGCACACACCTGCAATGCCTTTTATCTTACCCCATGGTGGCCAGCTACTCTTCTCTGTACTATTTTAGGCCTTTAACTAGAAGAGTCCAGTTTCAAATAGTGCATGCCAGCTATACTGTAGAGATTTCCTCAAACACAGCACAAACACAAACCACGACCAGCACAAAGTTAAAAAAACATTAAGTGCCTAATGTATTTGGTACCATCTGACCTGATCAAACCTCTGTTACGGGAGTCTTGTTAGCTCGCTAGTGAAAATACAGACATAGCTACAGGTGTTCATGCAGTTCTCAAGGAAAATGAATTGAAAGAGAAACTAAACCACGCAAGGACTACAGGAAAAACCAAAAATATATTCCCTATGGCTGCATGGCAGTCAAGGATTTATACAGAGATATAATTGATTTTGAAAAGCATACAGTCAGACATTAATTAAAACAAGACATATTTGACAGCTAACTAGTGAGCTGGTCACCCGATATTCTACGTCTTAAATAGGATAACCAAAAGATATAGAAGGGTTTCTGTGTATATGAAGGCACCTGCAGAGATACATTACACAGAATCAGCAAGCTAAACTCACCCACTAAACCTAATGACAGCTAAGTAGTGAGCTGGTCACCCGATATTCTACTTCTTAAATAGGATAAGCAAAAGATCTAGAAGGGCTTTCTCTGTATATGAAGGCACCTGCAGAGATACATTACACAGAATCAGCAAGCTAAACTCACCCACTAAACCTAATATTAATGAAATAATAATCGGCCCGAGCTTTACACATGTTTTTGCCAAAATACACCATGGAACTGAAAGTTACACCAATGCAGCCCACTAGAGGTCCAGTTACACAGAGCAGTTTAAAATACATTTTGTAATAAAGGACAAAGTTTAGGTCAGATTAAATAATTGTTCCCATAATCCATTAATTAGATAGACTGGATTATTAGACTGGATAAGTTTTCTTTAACAGAATACCATGGTATGAAGATTGTTAGCTCAGTTTTAGACCACCTGCTATGATGCTTGAAAACAGTGAAAATGGCAAGCTGAACTAGAAACAAAACCTCAAGACTTTATACCAGTCTTCTATACTGAAAATGTGACAGAAGAACTTTAATGCAAAGAAATAGATACTTTTGCATCCCTCTGTGTAAAAGTCACTTAGTATCACGCATCTGATCATACAGGATTACATCAGAATCTTATAAAACAAAGCAGATATAGGCAAATATGTGTGTAATATATGTGTAAAAAACTACCACCTTGATAAAAATGGAAAAACTCCGTCTCTAATCAGTAATCCTATAAGAGCACATTGTGAATGCAGAAATAATGCCTTAGGTTAGAATGGTTTCCAATCATTTGATTGGTGAATGTGTGATAAAAGATATTTCACGAGTGACTATCCTCTAGGCAATAGTAAGGCTCAGTGCAGTAATGTTGTCAGTCTGCTTTGTAAAGCTCCAATTTAAACTTAATTTACCCTTTTTTCCATGTCGTTCTTTCATCCACTTGGAGAAATAAAAGTTTGCAATCACAGCCTTCTGAATGCTAAACAGTTCATTGGCACGTAGGTAGCCTGGAGCTTAAAGCAGCTTTCAAGCAGAAAGCCACTTACAATATTCCAGGAAAGCATATCACCTAAGATGAAGTCCCAAGACCTGGGTAAAAAAGATGAGTGGTGTTTGCCTGCCTATTTCTGTGAGGAACCACATTTAAAAAAATAATAATAAAGGGCAGTTTTTGCATTCCACTTCTGTCCAGGAAGGAGACCCTTAAGGACTAGTTTGCATTGTTCCTGCAATTACCCTTGGAATGCTTCAAATTGAGTTGCAAGTTGTATATTGGATTTCCTGGACTATCATGAAGAGTTCCAGAATTACTATCAGCCTAAAGGTCACAGTATATAACCCACAGCCACTGAATTAAACTGCTTTCACCTAGTTTCTCTGCTTCACTAGCTCCAGATGCTTAACTCATCTTTCACTGTGTTTGTAACTAAGGTGGCACAAGGAAACTGCACACAGAACAGAGCTTTCTTTGGATTATGTACCAAAAGAATCAGTATACCCAAAAGAGTCAGAATTGTTTTACTAGCTCTCACCTCCTCAACCATGTGCTTGACTTTCTTCTGTTGGCAGTGGACCATATCATCCAGATGTTTGATTCGCTCTCGTAGGCTAGCTGCTACCTCCTCCAAATACTGTGACCTAGCAAAACATGGAAGAATTAAACATGTAAGTGGGGAGCTATGCCATATAAGCAAAACAAGAACAATCCCCACCATAAATCAGGAAGACAAGGTCAAGAGGCAGGTAAGTCGAATTCCAGTGACAGATGTCAGTTTGTCCAAAGTACAGTTTAACAGCAGTGTTTCAGTCAAAGTGGCTGTCTCCACCCAAGTTAACTCGCCTTTGTCATGCATACTGGCGTGCTTACTCAGAGGCTGAAGTGCTGACAATTAAACTATGTGACAAAACTCATCTCTAAGATGTCTGCTTTTCCTTGAAGTGAAAGGCCTTTAGACATCTAAATCTTTACCATCAGAAAGATACATTTACCCTGGCTTATTACCACCTGCAAAGTTTTTGAAACTGTGTACTAAATAAAAGCCAGGACGAACATCTGCTGATGTCCTTTTAAAAGCTTGCCTACTACAGGGAAGCTTTGAGTCAAGGATTTGGCACAGTTGCCAACAGTAGCAGAATGCTATCTGGAGTAGTAATAACTCATCAAGAGCAGGAATCGTTGTGGATGTTTGAAGTTTGTATGTATGTCTCTCTAGACAGATTCTGCATTTCTCCAAATATGTTTAACAGGGAAATTGAACACCCACTGAACTCCTGCCACAAACTGGTTTGACGGCTTGCCAGAAAAGCAGTTTTAGAATACGCAAAGAAACAGGAGGGAAGCTTCTTAGTAAGTTTTTGGCATGTTGGCCATGGGAGCCTCCATTTTTATCTGAATGTACTATTCTTGAAATTCTTCAAAGAAAGCATTGCTTGCCTACAAAATAAGCTTCTGTAGCCCTGGGTTCAGAACTGGACAGAATTTGAGAAGTGGAGGAGGGGATTCAAAAACAAAAAGGCTTTTCTCATCTTGGTCTGTGCACAGCAGAAGAAACCGTTGAAGCTGCAAATAGAACCACCATTCTGCAAAGCAGCAGATGGCAAACTGTATGACAAGATTTCAGTGAATGACTGAATTGTATGCTGTTTCCCCCCAGAAAGCATCTCTATTAACAGTGAAGTACTCTACAGAACTGTAACTGCAGCACTTTGACAAGGATTCAAAAAATCAAGGCATTGCTACAGGTTTTTCAACCCTGCCTACTAAGGTCTCACAAAACCACAATTTACATTCTCATTGCAATTGTAATGCATATTTGGTCTCTCATTGAAAGGTGCAGAATTTTAAGCAGTGACAGCAATGGAGCAATGGAGCAGAGGTCCTTCCTCAGGTGGAGCTCAAGTGTCTGGTTGGGTACAGACAGGTAAAGGGAACTTAAGAACAGACTTCAGCAGCTGAACACAGATCCATTGCTTGCATTGCACAGACTGACACAGTGCTCTGCACAAGTACCTGTCTGAACATCGATTTTACCCTTTTTACTGCAGCGTAACTTTTCATGCTGAGTGGACAGGGCAGGATTCACTGAAGTGAGAAAAGGTAAAGGAAGCATTTATCTTTCATCTCCATATTCTACATTGTAGGCGACATCTGTTCACTTTAAATTATTATTGTAACTGTCTGCTGTGAAAAGCTGTTACCCTGAAACCAGATAAGCTGATAAGTGACCAATACAAATAGGCAGTGAGATGCTCTCAGCAGAGGCCTCCTTTTATGTTTATGCTTCCTACGGAACAGCAGGATGCCAAAACCTTAAAACCAAATCTCTGGGTGCCACAAAAACATAAGTAAGTAGTAATCAAGTACAATTATTCAGTCTCTGCTTTAAATTAATCTTTACCCACTGAAGCAGTGTGATATAAACCTTTGAGTGGCGGATGCAATTTTCAATCCAATGGCAGTTACGCTGTTTCAATGCTGGACAGATTTCTCTTGAAACTTTGCCTGTGGCTTTGCTCGAAGCTTTCTTTTGCCTGGTCATGCTGCTCTCTATTTCTCAAAGAGGTAGCAATGGATGCACGTGCCACTTGTGCGCAAAAACAGCGCATCCGGGTACCATCACACTAGATCTTTCTTCTAAGCCTCATGCTTCAGAGAACAACCATTTACAGAGGTCTCACTGCCAATAACATCACCCTCGCTCTCCCCAGATAACTTCATAGCTTATTTCTGCACTGTGATGCTACATTTCAGATGTCTTCCACACCTTCATTTTGTTCATGTGCATATGTTAACATGCACCACATGTGTAGACCTGCCCCTTCGAGTGTCAAGTTCTACGGCAGTTCTATGCAAAACTCTTGCTCTCTCCAAGAGTTCACCTTTTCAAAGGGGATGCCCTACAGCTTAATACAGGACACAGAATGCGTGAGGGATCACGAGGGTCTCGACCCTTCCTTCTTCTATCTTGGAGCCCTTCCATCTTGGACCCTTCCTTCTGTGTCGATCCTGCAGTGGCCAAAGTCCCAGCAGACCCTGCTGGTTCATCTGCCTCTGATCCTGATCCCTGTGTTCTGCATCAGCTCCCACTGCTGCTGGGTCCTGTCTGCATTTTTTTTTTTCCAGTGCCCTGCTCCCAGAGCCTCTGGTGACGTATTCATCATTGGGAGGAGGGTGGGAGGAGGATTTTATATTGGTTTTGTATATGTATTTGTACATATTTATATGTATGTATTTTTTTCACTATTTTCCTATTTACATTATTATCCTGTAGTATCAGTATTATTGTTTTATTAAACCTGTTAGTTTTATTTACCAACCCGTAAAGTCTCTCTTCCTTATTCTCTTTTCTCTTCCTTTCTGGGGAGGGGAGAGGGGTTAACAGAGAGCGTCTGTCCAGGATTTAGTGGCCCTAAAACCACGACATACGTAAATAAACTTACATTCAGATGGACAATCCCTACCAGACTGCAGTTATAAACTTAGAAAAACCAAAATTCGGGTGTCTTCAAAACCAAACCAACCAACCCCTAAAGTTTCCTAGCAATACCAGAAGTTCTACAGACAAGACATATCTCACCTTTCACTGTCAGAGCTGTTTTCAGATTTTGCTCCAGATATTTGTATTTCATTTAGTTCAAGTTGTTTTTGCAGCTGCTGACGTTCCTAAACAAGAAACATTATCCTTCAGTTCTCCATGTGTCAAAAATGTAAAGGCTTCACAAAGCATATTTTATTGAAGTTCAAAAGATCATTTGTGAAATTAAAATAGAAACTAATTAAACAAAATTCAGCCATTTCCTATAGCCAAAGAGCACAGAATGCATAATAATAAAATCAGATTGCCAGCTATGCTTGAAAATAAGATCAGAGTTCTTAATATCCTCTTTGAAGATGTACGGTTGTACTTGAAACTTATTTTTTTAATAAAAGATCATTACAACCTAACCACATAAATGTCAAACTTTCCATGTTATCCCTCCAAAAAGATCTCTTAATTCAAGGCCGTGATAAAAGGTATTACTCTATTTTCTTCCCAAAAATATTCCTGTTTATTTTTTTAGGTGTCCACCAGCACAGTGCTCATGAAGATCTATGAGAACTTGGGTACTAAGTCAACATAAATTAAAAGCTGAGTCTGCTGTCTACTTTTATGGACATTTAAGAGGCATTCAATTTTACTCTGCAAGTATCAGCCAGATAAGAGCAAATTAAACAACCAAACAGGAAAATACTCATCTGTACTTAAAAACTATTTTGCAGTCCCTTATTCACTGCATAATACTTAAAAGTTGTAGGCTGAAGCCAGATGAAGCTAATGGAGCTACTGAAGGGGCATATTAAGTTGAGTGATTCCTCAGTGTGATCACTAGTTCTACTAATAGACTCGCAAGCATTAAACAAAAGGGGCTGATTACAAATGCATATTGTACTAACCAGTCAAGCCAACAAACTGGCTTCTAAAAATCTATTTCTCAGTAACAAATATTTACTATAGTAAATTAAAGCTAACGAAAAAAATCACTTCACTTACAAGAAAAGATCTTTGTATTCCCTCCACTTTACCAGAATGCTCTCTGCTTCTGTATTTTAGATAGCAAGGCACAGATCTTTAAAGACCATGAGATGCCTGCTGTTGAATGAAATGAGAAATGCCAAATTACATCCACGAGCACTGCAGTCTCTTGGAAGGGCTGCTCTTACATCATTTAGAGTCACACTATACAGTCTAAGGACTAAATGATAACATTCATTCTCTGTTAGGTGAACGATACCAGAAAACTAAGAGGAAATTTCACCGTAACTGAAACAGAAGATACCAAGCTTTTTCAGGTATCTGAGAAGGTTCAAGAAATGAGATTCAGAAGCAGTATACTACGAAGGGAGAGGTACTGTGATACTCTTCGCCTTATCAATACATTAAAATAATGATAATCTGACTACTAGTCTGAGTTTTGCCCTGGAGTGAAGTCCATAAAGAGAAGAAGGGAAAGCAGTAAATAAAAAGAAGCAATCCAAAACCTGCTACAACTAGTTTTACAGTAGTTTTGCTGTCAGTGTCTCAAGAGGTAAATGTCTCAAAGCATTTTTGCTTTCAGAGCTTTAAAAGTAAATTGTCAAAAACCTGTTCTCTATTAGCTTGATAAGGAGTATTTACCCAGGAAGAGGAATTATTAAAAGTTTTTAATGCTAGCAGGAAAGGAAGAACCTACGTTTTGGATTAGAAGGCAGTAAAAATGATTTTTTTTCTTCTCTCCTTAAAATATTCTGAGCCATAATCTAAATAAGATATATATCTGCATCAAAGATTAAGTGGCTACTACACACCCACAAAAAACCCTTAAAACATTGTAGTCTGAAGATTTAATTTTAGTGTTTCATCCACTTGTGGAGAAATGTGGAGATACAATTCTAATCAGGACTATAAAGAGCTAAATAGTAAGGTCTATTCCTAACTAAAACACATTTTAATGGACCAACCAACAGCATTTCTAAGAGACCTTGGATCATTTATGATTACTGCTTCATCAGGCTTAGGAGACCTTGCACACTGAAGGAAGACTGGTCTTTCTGAACTCTTTCCTTAAAATAATGGGTAATTTGCCAAATAAATTTTGATACCTTAGGCAGCTGTGACTGTAAAGATCCCTAGAAATATAGAAGAAACAATCTCAGTGTCCAGGTCCATTTACTTAGATGGATACAATAACTAAGTAAACAGCAATGGTATGTCACTGAGCAGCAGACATAACAACAACAACAAATCAAATTTCCTCCATGCACTTCTGCATTTCCTTGAAAGGCAGCTAACTCTCATACCTCTTCCATGCGTTCAATGAGCCGGTCCAGCTCACCAATTCTCTGGTCTTTTTCCTGTATGCTTGTTTCTGTAATCTGCATCTTCTTATTTGCCTCTTCAATAGCCTTCAGAAGCCGATTCGTTTCCTCCTTCAAATAACAACATTTACAGTCACATTAACATTCAATCTATTAATTAGGAATTTTATTTATTTTTTTTCTTAGGCCATAGAGCCAGGCTAATAGCTTTTAAGCAGAGCTTAAAGCTTTCCACTATACCTGCCCAGAAGTCTGGAAGAGTTGTGACCCTCAATATGAATTGTATAGAACAAAAGATCTAGGGCACTTTGAAGTGCGTAGGTATTTGTAAAACATCATTAGGAAGATCTGAGAAAAACTTCTACTCATTTCTTAGATATTTGTTTTCCCTTCTGAGGATGCCATGAACTAACAGCATAAAAAAATATGCTGTTGCAGAAGATAGCATTTTACAGACACCCAAGTCTGCCATGTTCAACTTTGTACTTTTCTCACATATAGAACAATAAGAAGAGAAAGAGACTGGGGAATCTACTTTCAATCTCAGTCATTATCTGTCTTTATCAGGTACAAAAATCCAATGACTAACTGCTCACAGAAAGGATGGAGGGAAACCAGGCGACAAGAAGAGTTCTTGCTCCAGTAGCACCCAGTGAAGTTGATCCCCTTCCCCTTCTTAAACTATCACTACAATTGGACATTACCTTTTCCTTCTTTTTTATTCTTTTTTTAATTATTTTTTTAGAGACTCAGAAGTTAAAAAACCCAATTAAAATCCATTTCAAATTTTGGAAATTTACATTATCACTACAGTTACTCCGTTTGTACACATTCTTGTCTTAGCCCTACAACCTCAACAGCTTGGAAAGCTTAGTAACTGTGGCATGACTACTCACAGAGACGGGAGTGAAGGAACACGTCAACTCTGGAGTATTAACTGACTAAGAAACAACACCCAAGCCAAGCACCACTTTTACAGACCAGCTATACGTACTAGGAGGATTTCTTTCTCCGCTTTATGTTTCTGCTCCTCTTCTCGCATTTTTTCCTCATACTGACTATACAGTTTTCTTGTCATCTCTCTCATGACTTCAGCATTGGCTTCCTGCGACGATTCCACCTATGAGAGGGGAAAGTTGACCCATCAGTCCATACAGCACTACTGGTAGCGGGAGAAACAGTTCACGTGACTCAAGAATTACACTTTGGACTTCAGCTCCGTCTTGTTATAAATTTGACAGATTTCCATTTGCATCAAGACCATTTACAACACTTTGCCAGTATACAAGTAATTCAAATTTGTAGAAGTTATCGTTTCATCAAGTTTCACATTGTCTGAACTTAACAAGTCATTGCTTATCTGAGACTAGGCTATGCCTCTTCACCAAGCCCTTCCACAACAACCTCCAAGACACTTGGTTTGTTTCCCCATTGAAACGATATTTTCTTTTACAGAAGCATAGATTAGAGATGGTCTGGACTCAACTGCTGTTTCTAAGTGACCAAAAACACTCAAAGCAATACTTTAAGCTGGACTGAAGTGTGTGGTATTCACTAGAAAACACAGCTGCACCCTCCCTCCCCTCTTGCTTTTTCACATACTGCTCTTTATGTGGGCATAAGAACTGGGGCGACCATGGCACAAAGCAGACCAGGTAACAATCAGACTGAAAATTCATATACTCAGGGGTGTGGAAGGGTTAATTTTTAAGCACAGGACCAGAAACTTTACTACTGCTACAAGGAAGAGGGCAGGAATGGTAATTCAGAGACAGGATTTCCCTCTTCTGTTGGCTCAAAACACTGACTGAACCACACCCTCGGTAATTAAACACCAGATAGGATATTCACAGGTTAAACCCATCTACTCTGTAAACTGCAATAAAAGCAAAGTAAAATAGCTTGTCCAGGACTTAGTTCTCTTACTAGAGATGATATAAATCAGACAAGGTTATAGTGAAATACTGTGGGTGCTACAAAAAGGTCAGGAAACAGGAATATACAGTCATCTGGGAGAAGAATAAAGTGTTCCCCGCTGATCACTACAGTTTACACAGCTACAAAATGCCTAGTCCTGATAACTGAGGTTTGGATCTTTGGGGTTGGTTTTTTTCATTTCAAGGACTGAATATTTATTAAACCCTTATGTTTATCTTGCGTGGTGGGAACAAGTTGTCTTACTACCCTGTAAGTTAACAAAGGTGTATTTCATCCTTCGAAAAGGGACTGAGCTCTGAAGGACTCCATTGGTACTGCAATTGCCCCCTTTGGCATCTCACCTAGACCAGCGCTGGGGTAGGGGTAGTAACCTGCACTTTGTGAGAGGGAATTAAGTTTTAGTGCTACACAAAACCTTACACATTTTAGGAAGCCTGAAATAATCATATCATTCATTAAAAAAACCCAACAGTCAAAATTCAGAGTCTTTAAGATACATTGAACTGGAATATGATCTCTGGCACCATCTCTCCATCATTCCTTTGCTTATAGCTTGAGCAATGAGGAGAGTTAAAACAAGGATTAAAAGGTAGATGCATCAGGGCACCTGTTGTAGTACTCTTAAGCAATGTCTCCAACCTCAGTGATTGTTATGATTGTATGAATAAACCAAACCTACTTAATAAGCTACATGGGTGGGTCCTCCTAGCCAGAAAATAACCATGGCATACAGTAGTTACTGCTTTTCAACTGCAAACCTCCCAGATTCCACACCATCCTCTTCCATTCACCCCTGGAATTAAATCCCAGATGTCTTGGCATCTTTGATACACAATTTTATGTTTAACTTTCAAAGACAGCAATGAGGTATTTTATCCACTAAAACTGCAACTTTGAGGGCAAAATTTAAACTTTTTCTCCATTAAGGCAGGGCACGCATCTGCAGACCTTGACGTGCCTGAAGATAAACAAATCCTTAAGTCTTCAGTTGAACTGGGACTTAACCTTCAGTTCTCTGCCCTTAGAAGCAGACATACCTTTCCCTGACTTGTTGGTGCATGTCCTTAAGATTATTGTAAAGTCCAATTTGTTTTGAAATCTTAATTGCATCAGCTTTGCTTTCTACTTTTAATTGGTTTTTCCCTTTTTGTATCCTGCTGACAATAGCAGGTACAAAATACAGCTACTTTTATAGCCTGCAAAGCTTCACTATGAATGGAAATGAGAAAATGAATTTTAAGTTGAAATAGACTTATGTTAATTTATCTCTTTTACCCATTCATCATTAAGCTTGAATGCAAGCCACTAGAGCCAAAAAGAAACATATTCTCTGCCAAAATCAAACATGAATAAACCAGCAGTCACCTTAATTTCACACTGACAAACTCTTACACAATATTATATCCAAATTAGTCTATTTTGAGCAATTTTAAGAAAGACAAAAGTTTCCAGAAGTGGTGTTTTGTTTGTCAGTTGTTGGGTTTTTTCAATGAGATTAAAGGAATATATCTGGCAGATGAGGGGAGCAAACAGTCAAGCTTTCTGGCATGTAAAACCTTCCAGCTTGTTTTTTATTCCTTTGCGTTTCTCTGAAAGACCGAGCTTAATTCTCTTTCCAAGACATTTGCTGTTCCAGCACATATCTGCTGACCATATGATCGTAAGACTTAACAGATTTAAAAGTGCACAATACCAAATAGAAAAATTCAGTAGCAAGAAATTCTTATAGCACTGTGCAGACTTAAAATACTCCTTTACTTACAGCAATGGACACTAATAACCATTTAATGGTTTGAATTTTCACCTGCCAACATCCCTGAATGGTAATCCCGTGTTACGGAAAGACTGATGGCTGCCAGCTGAGATTCTTTGTTATTAAAACAGTGCTGATTCACAGGAATAAGTCAGCTCCAGGGAATGATGAAGGCATGAAGAATCCTTTACAAATAAGGCCAAGGAATTAATCTAACTTACTGCTAATGCCCTTACTGTGCAAAATTTTTAGGGGAGTTTATATACCTCACCTTTAATTTCAATAACTGATTTTCAATTTGTGCCGTTTCCAGTTGCTTTTGCTTCTCTCTCAGCTTTTCCATAGATTGCTCATGTGTATGTTTTAAATTCCTTATTTGTTCCCTTATATCAGTGTTCTCCAATGTAACATCCACCAGAGTTTTCTAGAAGAAAGAGGCAAACCTCATATTAAAAGTCACAGATAATTTGGTGAAGTAAGAGAGGCAAGAGATTACATGACAGACAGAACATCTAAGAGTTTCTTGGTGTATCAATGCCGTATGAACACTTTTGCAAGTTTTAACATTTAAAACTATGGCTTTTGTTGTATTTAGTTTGCTAGAAGGTATTTCCATGAGGAACATGCTCAGTGAAATCAAGTCCTGGAACACTATAAAAAAAAGAAAGGAACATGAATACATCTTAGCATGCATGCTACTCCCAACAATCTTCCTTTCTTCTCTCCAAGGGCCATGCTACACGTATTAAATGCACTGGACTGAGAAAAAAATGTGACAAGAAAGCAGGGACATTAAGTTGTTCAGCACAGATATGGGTGAATTTGGACGTATTTAAAACAGAAAATTCATTCCCATCTTTTCCCTCCCCCTGCATTTCACAGTTATGTAAAGTCTCACAAGTGTTTAGCATCCAAACATGCCACTTCCATTTCTGCTAACAGTGAAGGTAGGAATAAGTCAGCAGATGTACCATTTGGCACAATACAGAACAAATCACATTTCCACCTTGGCTATTCCATACAGACACGACTAGTAGCATTAGTCTGCTGCAGATCAGTATCTCTTTATTGTACACTATTTTTAACAGGTTTGTTTAAAAACAGAGGTGTTAGAATTTTTTTTTCATAGTTTCCTAAATTAGCTGTCTTAGATATCCAAGACAGTTCTTCATGGGCTTGTTTAGTGTTAGAATCTACATTTGCCATCCATGTTTTATGAATGCTTTTAAGTCTATGTCAGAAAAGACAGTTGTCAGCTGTGAAACGGCTATTAAAATGTACCTGCAAGTCTATTGATGCTGATGTCAAGGAGCTGTTCATTTCACTAAAGCTATCTAAGGCTGCAGCCTGCACTCGCACATGATTCTCTAAGGATTCCTGATGAGCATTTGTCACCTAAGCAGAAACAAAAAAAAAAAGTTTTATATAGAATAATGACCAAGTTTACCTATTCTTTCAAAGGGAGCTACAGAAGAGAAAGACCCCGTCATTAATTTTCACAGTTCTAGGATGCGTAAAATACACAGGCCTCAAATCATATTCTTGCACCTCAGAAACAAACACACAAAACTCAGAATCCAAATATGCTTACAGAAATAAGGCACAAGTATCTTGTTTATGCTTGTAATCACTGTAAAAGCTGTTCTTTTTAAAGGACAAGAGGACACTTGGCAGATGTCTGTTCAGAAAGTTCATATACAGAGTGGGCAGACTGTAAGGAGTCACAGAGTGAAAAGCAGAAGAATGCAAGAAATGAGGAAAGCAAGGTCTGGGTGAACTGTAGAATAGCCTGAATTAAGAAAGAACTGACTAATCAGGTAGGTAAAGAAACAACATCAAGAAGACTTAAGGATGATCTAATAGGAAGCAGGTAGGAGAAGTCAGCAGAGAATTTTATTGTGTGTAAATTCGTCATCTTCTGTTATGTACACGCATACTGTTAAAAACCAGAGGGGAAAAAAAGGCACAAAATGACAATATTTAAGAAGAAATCAAAACCCAAACAGTGTAAATAATTATGGACCATCGAAGAATAAAGAGAAAAATCATGTTAGTAATGAAGGCCAGCCCAACTCACATTCGTAGATGGACCAGATTTGCTTCTTGATAAAAATGTAAGAACACTAGGGACTGATACAGAGAACAATGAGTGTTTAGTAACCAACACACACACAGATTAGGTCAGCATAGGGAGCAGAAGCCAAGTAGTTACAGTTAACAGTGTGCTCATGTAAAAAAAAAACAAAACAAACGAACCCCCAAACAAACAAAAGCAGAAATGCCTTGGATGGATGAAGAAAATTACAAGATAAGAACTTGTGTGAAGAAACATACTACCCAGGGCAGGATATTGGAAGTACAAATTTCAAACAAACCTTATGAACAAAAAGTAGTCCTGGAAATTGATGGGAAAAAAACATAGTGATTCAAAACTGAAGAAGAGAGAATATAAAGGATTTTAGACAGAATCCCCACATAGCATGAAAGATGGCAGTCATGTAAAAGCTGAAGAAAAGAGAATATAAAGGATTTTAGACAGAATCCACACATAGCATGAAAGATGGCAGTCATGTAAAACCAAAACCAACCAACCAGAAGCGTATATTATTAGGTATAACAATTATGCTTTCTTTCAGACAGTCTCAAGTATTAAAAAAGAAGAGTGGAGAGTGTCTCAAAATGTGCCATTTATCTCAGGAGGAGTGCTTCATAACTGCTAATTTGCTGCAGAAGTAGAGATTCTGTCAGAGCTGGTCAGAAACCTTTAATTAAGAGAGACATTCAGATTCATGCAGGATTTCTACTGGTCTGACAGAAGATCTGGAAGTGAAGGATATCACCACTGCTATTTAATAAGGATCAGCAGCAAAGATAACAAAACTACATCTGAAACACCATTTGCTTACATGCACACTGGGTGGGAGACTCACCTTGCTGGCACCATTAAGACTATTTAACACACTTTAGGGAAATTCAGTTTTCTCTTCCTCCTCAAGTCGGAGTGATTTTCTCTTGGTTTTTGAGACTAGTTGCCACAGAATAAAAGTAGCAGTGTAACAGCAAGTTCTGATCTTTATATATGATACAACATGCAAGGGAACTGACAGCCTCCAAATGAGGATGGCAGAAGGGCACAAGTCAGGGTCCCAGTCCCTTGAAGTCAGAATATGTTCAATTGCCAGAGCTTCATCTGCACTAGGGCTGTGAAAAATCAATGCTGAAGATAAAATCCACAGCAAGTTTTCAGGGAGATTTTTTTGGGGGCCAAAGAACTCATCAGTTTCATATGAAAGATACTTCTACAGACTGCAGCAGCTTTTACTGCTAAAACAGCATGTCAGAAGAAAGAGGTCATCGAATGACCCATCAAAGGGTTCAATTAAGAACCAAAAGTTGTCACTTTTAGGACTGTCAAGCACTTTAATACTAAAGAATATTGCTACTTTTTTTACTATAACGTTTAAACAATAAAGTCAGCAAAACAGAGGAAAGTCTGTGTTCAGTTTTGGGCCCCTCAGTACAAGAAGGGCATTTTGTTGCTGGAGTGTGGCCAGAGAAGGGCAATGAAGCTGGTGAAGGGTCTGGAGCCTTATGAGGAGCGGCTGAGGGAGCTGGGGTTGTTCAATCTGGAGAAAAGGAGACTGAGGGGAGACCTTATTGCTCTCTACAGCTGCCTGAAAGGAGGGGGTAGAGGGGTGGGTGTTGGTCTCTTCTCCCATGCAACCAGCAGCAGGACAAGAGGAAATGGCCTCAAGTTGTGCCAGGAGAGGTTTAGATTGGATATTAGGAAAAACTTATTTACTGAGAGAGTGGTCGAACACTAAAACAGGCTGCCCAGGGAGGTGGTGGAGTCACCATCCCTGGAGGTGTTCAAAAACCATGTAGATGTGGCACTTTGAGACATGGTTTAGTGGGCATGGGGGTGTTGGGTTGACGGTTGGACTTGATGATCTTAGAGGTCTTTTCCAACCGTAATGATTCTAAGTCTATTGATATGACACCAACTAAGTTGCACGTTACTCCTAATTATGTAAGTTATTTATTCAATTCACCTGGCAGCTTACTGGTACAAGTATCTCCACTAATCACCAATACACACAGACAATGCTATCAAGTCCATTCTTTTATTTCCAAGAAGCAGGCAAATAGTAACTCCATATGCAAAAGTATCCCTGTCCTACTTTACCTTTCTGGAGGGAAAAATAAAGAAAGAAAAGTATAGATGTCACATAAAACAACTAACTGGAATGGTTTGAGAAATTATTTCTGTTCTGCTGAAGCAAAAAAAAAAGGTATCTAGATAACACTGGGACAGTTATGCTCGTGTGTCATTCGTAAGCTGCTGTATTTTTCGTTTCATTTCATCATATTCACCATACATTTTCTTTCTTACTTTTTCCAGAGTTGCTCTCACCTGGTGTAAAAAAAAAAACAAAAATAAAAATCAAATGCCTTTATCAAACTTATTGATGATCCTGTTTATACGAGGACATCGGGGTTTTTTCCTATGTCCTTCATTATTACTTTCCACAATTTCCATTATTATACTACCTTTTCATCAACAGCTATCTACTCTCAAGAACAAGACAAAAACTTTTAAGTCTCAAGACTTGTCTACATAGGGGTGATACAAATAAAAATCGCTGAGTAATTCCAAACTTCTCTTTACTCAAAACACTTCTAAATTTATAATTTAAATAATAAATTTCAATTAAATTACCCATTACTCATTTTAACCTGATTACTGAAGGAATTAAAATTAATTAGAGCACATAATGTTTTCTTTCTGAAAAAAGTGCCCACACATGGATTTAATACATCTTTATACCTTTTTAAGTGGTTAATTAGTTTTCCATGAGTATCCTTTGAAGATAAACCCTTTAATTTCAGACCTTTAGGCTTGTATCTGGCTAAACGATATATTAGCATAAATTTAACAACACAATTTCAAATCTGAAGAGAGTACTCAATTTGATGTTGGGTTTTTTTTTTTTAAGAACTATGGTAGAAAGGGGAAAGGAAAGGGAAAAGGAAAAAAAGCAGCATGCTGGAAGGCAGCTTGGGTTTACATGCCACTGCAATCAGGCACAGAACCAGTCATCTCAGAAGCACATTTGTAAACACTGGTTAAATGTTTGCCTACAGTCGACCTTCCAGCTATGTAACTCAAACTCCTCCCTCCCTCCTCACCTCTATCGAATACAGACTGATTGTAGATAGTTTAGGGCAGTTACCTGCTGCAGAGGCTTGGCAAAGGATTGAGGAGAAAACATTAGTAGGGCCTTATATGAGAGCAGATGTCTCTAGCAGCTCTGCAGTATATCCACTTCCTCTCAGAAGAGGGGCGTTGGCCATCAAATTTATGCAAGGATTAGGCACAAACCTACCCAAAACTATGTGCTCCCATGAGGACGAGAAACATGGAAGGCAACTCCTGCACTTCACCTCAGGAAAGCACCCCTCACCCTGCCTCACACATATGCACATGACACAAACATAACCTCTTGCAAGGTGCAAATTTGACTTGGATACAAAGGAAACCATCAGCAGTTCTAACGTGGCCCATCATTTCTGGTCTATTTAAATCAGCATATATGTGGCACAAGCTGAGAACTCTTGTTTAAGGCTCTACTTTTAAAGACAAAACCTATCTGGCAGACCAAAGTTCACAAGTTAGCACAGCTGAACACAGCTTCCAGAAGATAGGGAAGCAAGGGCTAGTAACATCTCTTCCCATGTCTTTCCCACATTTTCCTGAAAGGCTCAGTACTCTGAACACATGCAAGACATGAAGTTCATGTGGTCTGACATGTCCCTCCATGCCACAAGCCAGCTGTGAACAGAAAAGTGTAGGGAGATGGTCCTGGTCCAAGCAATCTACACCAGGTACCAGAAACAGGGCAGTCCAGGAAGCTGGATCTGCCATGTGCCAATTCACCTATCCCCTGACACCACCCCAGCAGGGCAGATAAACGACCCAGGCAGGAAACCAGCAGTGGAGACAGCTCGAGTGCCTCGCCTGCACTGCAGTAGTGACGTACCCTAACTGTGAGCACAGGAACTCAAGAGTAATGAATGCTGGGAGCTAACAAACAGTGAGTAGTAAAGGAAAGAAGCAAGTCCTGATAGCTAGAGACCAGGCTGATGTTAAGAGCACACATAATTACAGTCTCTCACGCTGCTGGCTTGACTCAGTGTTCCTCCCTTTTATATCAACTCAGTCTGCACTTGAATCAGTGTGACATGATAACCACTGACCAATAGCTTCCTGGGTGGTGAAGGTGGATGGAAAGAGGTCAAATTATTTGCCCTGGGCTAATCAGGGGGTTATTGCCAAAGTCTGAGAGCCAAGGACAGACAGGCAAAGAGGTGCTGGGTTTTGAGCACAGAAACCAGAAGCATCAGAAAAGCGGTGGTGGTGTTTTTTTTTTTCTTTCAGGAGAGCTTCTGCCAATTACAATAAATGAGCATGCACAGAGAAAGTAGTACAAAGTCATCCTTATTAGGCTGACTATTTTAAGGCTGCCCCAAAATATACCCAAGTGATTTTACTATGTCACCTAATTTAGGATCCTTTTCAAAACTGGAGGGGTTGGCGATGGAGGAAGCAGAGGAAGAGAGAGTTTATCCTTTCAGCTGTCTACTGATGTAGTTTCTTCTGTGTCACATTTGAAATTATGAAGGGTTCAGGATAGGAACCCCAAGATCTGTTTAGCAGTTTGCTTGGCCAGCTGTAGCCCAGTCAGCAAGCATTCAGAAGTATTCCTTGGCACAGAGGCCTTGAGCCTGGATGGCACAGTTCCCAGGTACATAGCATGCTTTCTTTCTAACTCAAATACTAACAAGGCAAGCCTTTAGGTTCAGAGTAGATTCCCAAATCAAATTCAGGTGTTAGGCTAGACATCAGTCAGCCCATATCCACTCACAGCTCTACATGCATACATGGGAAAGGTATTTGACAAGTTTTGAAGCGGAAAGCATAACTCACTTCTTTAATGTAATTCATCTCCTCTTTCAGCTGATCAGCTGACCAGCCATAAACCACCATTTCCCTCTTATGGTTGTTGTCAGTTCGGTGCACAACGCCATATACCATCCCATGAGAGAGCTTCCCTGGAGACATGCCATTCGGTACATGGTATGGTTCCTTCAATAGTAAAAACAAAAAGAAGTTATTTTAAAATCAGTACTAGAATAAAAAAAAACCAAAACAAACAACAAACCAAAACCCCAGAAATACAGTAACATAGGACCAGGAGAGACTGACTACAGTGAAAGCACAACAGGACCTAAGAACACTAGTTCCCAAGTATTTTGTGGCTAAGTGACCAACCTTCATGTTTTTGGGAAAATCAATAACCAGTTTATAATTGGTAGAGATGACAGAGATGTCTAATTTCCACTGACTATAATGGAAGTGATACAGGTACAGCTAGAGACAACAGATTGGATTTGTGCAAGGAGAGGCTGAGGTATGTGAGAGAAAACGTTATCATGGTTTATTTTTGTTCACCAACATATGCAACTTCTGTGCATTCTCCCAGAGCATTGTCAGCTCTCACAGTTCCCTTTCAACTCTTTCAACCACAGAATTGTCCCTCACTCCCCAAATTCCCTGCTCCAGAAAATATAAAAATTCACAAGTTTACTAAAAAATTCTAGAAAGTTCTCAGAAACTGAAATGAAAACATTTTAGACAAATTTATCCATTCCTTAAACAAGGCTCAGAAAATACGTGCTCATCTTTGAGATGACCAAAGTACAAATTCAGTTTGCATGTAAAGCTACCTAAGCTGTACATACAAAGAATCATCCATTTCAGGGCTGCATTTCTCTTATGGAAGTTGTAGAATTGACACTGTAAGAGCCACAGCAAAGCTATGAAACAGCATTCCTGTGAGTGTCCCACTGTGACGAACTACTGCAGGAGGAAATCAGGTCTTGGTAAGTAAACAGAAAGGCGGTTTTCAAGTGCCTACATTCATTATAAGTTCATAAAACATACTTGTAATAATTGTATGTCTTACTTTAAGGTACTCTTTGCAACAGGCTCCTCTTATTCATCTCATCAACACACTTAGTAAGAACATTCATGCAAAGAGCAGGAATCACTTCCTTCAGCATGTAAATAAATATCTGCAAGGTCAGCTGTAGCCACCTGACCTCACTACTCACCCAGCCTCCCTTCTAACCAACCCAGAGAAATTTCCTTCTAGAGCAATCAGTCTCCAGAAGTACTCATTTCTCTTCTTGATTGCAAAGAATTTGAACAACTAGCTTAGATAAAGACGTTCACATTACGGCTTTTTTAAAAGAAGGGAAAAGATATTCTTATCTAAATTTGAATATTTGCAAACTAGGAACCTAAAATCAATTATTATTCCCTAATAGAAAATTAGAAACACACAATCTTGGAAACACAGCTGTTACTGCTTAGTGTTTTGGGTTGTTTTTGAAAGGCCAGTGCTGGAGACAAATCAGTTACAGGTAATTTTACTGAACTTCCTTTCTCATGCCAGATATACCAGGATATAGGTAAGTTTGAGAATATTTACTTTGCCTTAGTGTTCAGTAATGACACTGTATGAAAACTGACTAACTTTGAGATTCTTTACTAAATTAAGAGTCTAAGCAGTGTCTAAATACTCTCTTTGACACCAAACAGAGGCTGGAAGAGATAAAGCTCAGCATCTTATATCCATCTGCAGCTGTATCCCAGAGTCTCCAGTCCTTACCAGGACAGATGGTGATGATAGTCTCAAGCAGTAGCACTTTCAGTTTTTAGCAGCCCAACTAACACAACTATGGTGGCAATATAAGAATAAATACTTCTTTGGCTAAGAGAAAAACGAACAGGAAAATCTACTTGCATTAAGAAGAATGGGTAAAGACAGGCATTGGTTTTATATTGTGTCCCTCCCACATGACACTGACAGCATTGTAAATCCCACCTACTTTCTTTTACTGTATCATTAATGGCTTAACCATTTTGCTGAAGCTCTGGGTGTGTGTGTGCAGGGCTGGGAAGGGAACAGTCACGGAGCAGACACCTGATAAAGAACATTTCAGGCAAAGAACAACAAAGCTACAAGCAATCATTTAAAAATAAAGCCTGAAGACCGCTTAATGGAAAAACATTGGGCAACCAGCCCTACCTATACATGACACCATTTTGCACTTCGAAAACATTATATGCAAAGCTTCATATCCTGATAATCAGACATGTCATAATTATGTGCTATTGGTTTTTTAGTTTTGCTCTTTGGATGCATACAGACAAAAACCTTACAGCTGATTTTCTGAGAGTAGAGAAGATACAGAAACTAGATGGGGACATGACTCAAATCTTTTCTGTGTTTGTTTGCTTCCAGGGTTGTACAGTTTCTTTGATAGTTTCATTGCAGCTCCTCCCCTGCATCTGGATAAAGGGATTACGTACAAGTTTCCATCTTCCTGATAACCAAATGAATAATCACTTGATTGTTTAGAGGTTACTAAGGCGCCAGACACTGAATTCATAAATCCATACCCTTTACCCATGAGCATTCATTTTTTATGAGGTGAACAGCTGAATACCAGCAACTATCAAGATCCTTTGTGCCTCCAAAACATTAGCAGACTTGTTTAAAGTGCTGTTTGCTGAGTTCTGTGTGAAAATTATGACCAAGTACTGTATTTTTAGAGTATTACAAACACATTCCTAAGGAATGCTTTGAAGGAATTTTTTTCCCCTTTAAGAAAGGCCTACAAATTCAAACCAATGAGTTTGCAGCTGGAGAATCACCCATCGCACTTGTGTATTTCACAGATGAACAGACTGAATTTTACATCATAGTGGGCAGTACATGCAGGATGAGGTGCGCACAAAACTAGACTGGTTACTTGTCTCTTGCAACCACGGTGAATGTGCCTGTCGTCTGTATTGGCACAAGCCTCCCAAGATGCCTTTGTCACTTCTCTTTCATACGATTAAAAGAATCTCCATCATCTGTTAAGTGTTCCAGTTCTACTATGTGCTACTTAAAATACAGGATATTGCTTTTACCCTCTCCTTACTCCCTATTCATATCACAATCTCCAGGCAAACACCTGTTAAAGTTTCAGTTCTTGGTTGATTTAAAGCTGTATGAACCAGCAGCTATGCAAAGGACTGCTCTTATACTTCTTTAGTCTTTTTCCTTGCTGTTCTATTTCAGCTATGCTTACCTTCTACTCCCCCTTTTCTCTTAATTTCCACTCAATGACTGCTGCTTCAGGGTTCAACATATGCCCTGAAAAAAAAGGGCTAATCTGATGCAGTGTCCTCTTAGCAAAAGGGTTAAAATCAGAACACTGCTCAATGCAGGGTTGAGAGGTGGATGGGTTGCTTTGCTTGTTGACTCTTTTTCAATACACCACTGCCTTTAAAGGAGGCCTTGCTGAATGTCTGAGTTCTCAAACTACTCCACAGAACTGCATCACTAAGTATGCATCAAGTATACTTTTTGCCACTTCATCTCCTCTTTTAAGCTACTTCCACCCACCTTTGTTTATTTTCCTCCCTTCAGTGTTTTTTCCTTTTCTGCCTTCTCCTCTGCCACATTCTCTCTCTCCCATGTTTCCTCGTCCACAAATCCTAGATTTTCCACATCCTCAAAGGCTACAGAATGGTTTTTAAGTCAAATACTTTCCATTGTTTTCCTCTATGTCCCACATATATCCACTCTCAGAACTCAGATATTTTTCAGAGAAGGTCCTCCCCTGTCTCCCCTCTGATCTGCAGTGAGACATCTCAGTGATCGTAACAGAATAAGTAAGCACATGCAAGTATTTAGGAGCAAGTAAAGCTAATCAGAAAAGTGCTTAGTTAAATTAGTTAACCATTGCTGTTTAAGGTCAAAATATTCACCAGCTCCAGAGTGCAAGGAAGTTCTTGCTCCCCACCTGTCTATGCACTTGCTGCATTGGAACATGCACAGTTGTTGCCCCAGATTGTGCTCAAAATCCCTTCTAATGCGAGCTGCTGATCTGAAAAGGCAGACTTGACTTAAGCAATTTGTGACTATTTCTTTGTGCCTGTAGTCAGTTACATGACAGTCCGAGGTAACAGCAGGAACACAGCACGTTGACGCATACCAATGCTACAGCAGCTTCCAGGAATGTGCTTTGTCTATGTTGCACTTCGTGTGTGATCACACAGCATGTACTAAAGAAATGCAGACTGTGTTTATTTAATAAATAATTAAAACAGAAGCCTACACCCCAAGGTTGCAAAAGCCTTGATAATTGCCATGTATTTTGTTTACGCTAGCACAAGTAGCATAAAACAGGTGAAGCAAAGACAGTATAAAAACAAACCCTAAATATGACTTGTTAGCTGCTTTTTGTATTGCCCATGGTTTTTTTTCGCATCATGTAAATAACACTGAGGCATTATTTGCTTCCTAATGTATCTCCATCGGTTTTTGAAATGAAAGTCAGGTATCTTCATAGGTTCCCCAAAAATGGAAGCAGAAGCACAAAACAGGTATCTTATTTTGAGGAAAAAGGACATCTAATGCAATGATAAGTACAATTTTGGGTTTAGTACTCATACAGCCTTAAAATTTTGCTAAATCGTTGTCTTCTGTTTACCTACACCATCTAAAAACTCTTCTTTTACCCAGAACTGTATCAGTTAAGCAAGGCTTTCCCTTTTCCTCAACTGCCACATTCAGAGGTTTCTGAAGTACCCAGTTATCTTGTTCACTAGTTATGCAAGGGACAAGAACATTTACATTGCTACTTAGGTTACTTATTTCTGCTCAGTAAAATGACAAATCTGTAATACCGAACTCACCAAGAAAAGTTACTGTGCTCTGACAAAAGGGAGCTATGGTTTTTTGTATTCCTCTGCAGTCTATGAAGCTATGTTACATTTAGGAATGTTTCATATATAAATAGTATTAAAACAGGGAAAATATGCCAAGACAGACATGAGTGTTCTTAAATTCATTATGCTAAATAAGAGGCATTATTTAACACCTTTTAAGCTCCTTGAAGTGTAGAATTTAGATGCCTATCTCAAAAAACAGAAGTGACAGGCACTATACAAAGTCATTTCTCATCAATGAAATCCATACACAGAACAGCAATGTTTACATGTAAGAAAGTAAATACAACAATATGCACAGAAGTCACTGGAATACTCTCTGTGGTTTTCCTGTTTTAATGAAGCCGTTGCTTAATTAGTACACATCAAAAAATCGAGCAGTCGGTGCTAGAGAGGCTGAGAAACAGTAACATCAGCCACCTGTAGCAAGTGAACCACATTTGTTATGACACAACTTGTGCTGTGCTGGTGGGAGTGGGCTGGCAGCAGCAGAGCAGCAGAGAAAATAGGCACTGTCCTAGATTCCGTGTGCGCAACAGCCCCATGTTCATTGCACTCGTATTCTCTGATGCAGGCCTGAAACAAGTTTCTGCTTGATTCTCTCCATCACATATAGGAGGAAATTCCCCTTCTGGCTTCTTTACAGCCTATTTTTTTTTGCTGAGGGAAAAAAAAAATGTTTGCTATGCTTTTGTATTCCTGCTTAGGACACAAAGAGAGTTTCACCTCATGGCTGTGATGCTTTAAAAACATAAGAAAATCAGAGTCTGAGGATATATACAGCCGAAGTGCCAATTAGAGTTCAAGACTAAACACTGCTCAAATTCTGTTGAGAGCCGCAAAAACAGGAAAGTGACACAAATTTCTAGAGTGTTACCTCATTTTCTTTCTCTTGTCCATGTGTTTAAATGAAAAAGAAAAATCTGTCTATACATATCTCCATATTCTGCCCTCAAATGCCTAGCTGCAGCTCCCAATGACACTTCCAAATTTAGCCATGACAGTGAAGAAAGGCACTGATGGATAAAAATAAGCCCAGTCCCAAACAGGGACAATACAACTGTCTTGTAGCCCTTCATTACGCAAGGCAAGGCAGGCTTCAGGACATGCAGATTTTGCATACAATCCGACAAGCACAATATTCCTTTGTACTCCATGATAAAGTAAACAGCCTCACACTGCTGTCATCCATTGTCTATCATTAACAGAAGTAATGGAATAAAATCAGGAGAGTTTCAGATTCTCTCTACCTAAAGTGTTAACAATCCAGAGATATTTAGCACTAGACTTTTAGGCTGTAAAAAGCAATCAAACCAACCAGCCAGCTTCTACTTGTGGCTTCAGTTCTCATATGCTTCTTTCAAGGTATCATAGCCTAAATATGAGTATAAAAATCCAACCTGACTGGAGCACAATCTGACTCCCCCTTCAGTTTTTGAGATCAACTTCTGTGCACCATCTGCCAGCCTTCCACAAAGATGGGGACAGGCTGTCCTAGTACAGCAGTGTCTGCAGCAACTGCCCAGCTCCATCACTCTTACACTGGTTCATTTCAAGGATATATAGCAATAAACCCCCCCCCACAATGTAGAAACTTAATGCACTGATACAGATTTAATGAAATACAGCTAAATTTGGACTACAATGAAAAAGGCTAAGCTAACAACTACTAACATACCCAATAATCAGTTCTGATCTGACACCAAGCTCCAATATAAGTTATTGAGAGGATCGGGACTAGCAAGAGCTTCTGTGCAGTTCAATAGCTGATTTTGTAACTGAAATACCTCTTAATGGTACTGAGCCCCACAAATACAGAAAAGAAACAAATAGCCAGTCAGCCATTGCTATGCCACGTTAAGGCAGCTCAAAATCACCTCCTTCTAATGAAAGACGTGAAAGAGGAGATTACAACCAAATGTCACGCCAAGGTGTATTTATAGTTTTCTGGCATTCCCTTTGACACAGCAAGGCCCTCAGCTCACCAGCAGCAGGCAGAAGCAGGGCAGAGTCTGTCTCTCTCCAGCACTCATCCTGCCCAAACAGGAGAGCACCTGGCAGCCAGGCTCAGACCGCCTGATCTGCCTGAGCACTCCAGCAAACACTGGACAATCCCACAGATTACCCCTAAGTCACACTAATATATTTTAAATACCAAAAACATTTCCCATGTTCACATTTTCTTAATACTTTAAAGACAGCACAAAACTCTAGATCCCAGTAAGAGACCTGCTGTTAAGTTTGATTCTTGGTGACACTGTATTTTTTTACCTTAAATTGTGAAGTGCAAGGTAGAAAACTGAGAAGTTCCCCAATTTCCCTCTATTATCCGTATTTCCAAAGAAGGGAGGATTATCTAACATTTGTAAAGCCTGTTATTCTCAAAGTGCTTTAAGCAATGTCATTAACACTGAGTCAGTTGAACATGAGTGGATCGGCTGAGATACCTGATCACTGCTTTTAGGAGATGCTTTTTTTTTAAATTAAATTTGCAGTAAGAGGAAAGTATTACAGCATGACAAGTCAAGAGTCCTGTGTTCACTGTAGGTTACTGTGTAACTAATTAAAATCCATAAAGCAATACATTACATAGACAATAAAAATCTACAAGTAATATAATACATTACTGTCTTGTTTCAGAGACATGAGAAAAAAACCAGTTCATGATCAGTGATTTTTTGTAGCTGCTTCCATACTCTATGACTATACAATCTGTAGGGCTATTTTTTTAATTACACAAAGACCATAAATCACAAGTAGATGCCACAGTTACTCTGTGTTTTTTAATTGCTATGAAATGGACTAATTAGATCCCACCCAGTTCTGAAAGCTGTACGTATGCTGCCTGAAACTCTATAAATTGTGGGAAAGAACTGAACTTTAGAGAACTACTCAGAACGTACAATAATTAAATTACATACCATTTTTTGGTCTCAACTAAAAAGGACTCAAGTTCTTAAAAATCACTGTGCAATATCCTGCAGTGTAAGATGAGCCAAATAATGTATTTATTATCTTTCATATCCTCTCCTTAACATTCTCTGATATAAAACCCACTTGCCTTTAATTGTATTATAGGGGAAATAGAGCTCATTAAATACAAGACCTCAAAGAGAGAAAAGAAATTGGTCACATAAGTCACTACAAATTGTCCAAGCCCTAATCATTCACTCTTCTTTCTTATTACACTACTCAGCACAGTAAAGTGAGTAAGCCATGAGTCAGTATCTATCCTCCTCAAAAACAAACGTACATTACTCTTAGAGAAACAGGCCCTTATGACAGTCTGAGGGTTTCTGCAATCAGATACAAACTGGCAAGGGACTGACAGAGTAAGCAGTGGGGAAGCTACTTGAAGTGTTACAACTAAACACCTCTGTATAAAATTATTACTATTTAGTAGTGCCCCGACTTTAGTTTGCACTGAGGCCTCTCCAATCCATTCTGTAAGTAACATTAATAAATCCTTAAGGATCTATTACTCTGCCAGAGCAGCGTATGAAAAGCTGAGTGTTTCTAAGACTCCAGCACGAGAAATATCTGATAAGGAAACTTGACCATTTTACTTTGCATTTATTTTGTTTTAAAATGTTTGTCTTTGAGTCATTTTACGGTTACTTTTCCTTCTAAGTACCACTATGAAATTATTTCAAATAAATCCTGCTGCTGTGCTTCCTACTGTCATATGGCTATTCAAGCATTGGATCTGATAAATTTAGCCAGCTTCTTGTTTGATTTTAGTTTATTGAAGTGCAAATGTGGTGAAGTTGTGGAGCTTGCCCAGCTTCCTATTTTAGTCTTCATCCTTAAGACAAACTAAACACCATCTATTGCTCTGAAACAGCTCTTAAAGAACAAGTTCTGCACCAAAGCAGCTGTCAGACTTTTTTGTGTGCATACTACTTGCTTCTTCAAAAAAATGCCCTTCTGAACCTTTTTATGCACATGACTTTAAAATCACTTTCCCTTCAGAACAATCCTGAATTCTTTCTTTTGTATTTCTTATTAGGACATCACTCATTATCAAAATTAGCCAGCACAGCAAAACACCCAAGTCCCAGGGAGGCCAGCTCCCACACACACTAGGGCTCAAATCTTCACTGTTCAACCTACATAAAATACAAAAACGCCTTCAGATGAGTATCAAGATCCTGTTTAATGCAAGACCCTGCTCCTGATGGCAGTTTCCTACTCTTCAATATATAAATATTAAATAATCAAGTCTTAAAAGTACCTCAGTCACAGATCACGTACAATCTCTGTGCTGTTCCTCTACTACTGTCCTATTTTACATGCACTTTTGCTATCCACAATTCCAAGGCTCAGGCTCAAAGCTCACAGCTGACTTGCTCAGCCTCCATATGTTCTTCAGTCCTCCAAGATGACTGGGCTTTGGGCTCCCAAAACAACTAATATCAGCTGCTGTGGATGGCAACATTCACTCCTTGTTTATACAAAATTTAATTTCCATTCTTAAAACTTACATTTTTCTTTCTTTCCGGTTCCTTTGCTCCCTGTTCAGGCTGTGAGCCTTCATCAGGTGGTACCGTTAAGCGTAACCTACAGACATTCATCTGAAAGAAAAAGAAAGGTTTGCTTTTAGATTTCAGTGTTATAAAAATAGCTTTAATAACTTGCTTTACAGAATGAACTGCACTAAGACTCCAGTTTTAATTTACTATTTTCTACCTTCTGCCATGTAGATGACAAAAGATCATTTTTTAAAGGTTGGAGAGGTTTTTAGCTGGCAAGAAATAATTCAAAGGCAACCCCGTAATTACATAGCTGAAAGAGCAAAAATCCATTTCAATCAACAACATGTTCTTATGTACTCATAAACGACATTGAGAGCTGAGATAAGAGAACAATGGACATAATTTTCTAGTTTCTCAGTTTTGTTTGCAGAGTTGGCATACTTTTAATCTTCAAAAAGGATATTTAGAAACACAAAGTGTGTTCTGGAGTGAATGTCTCTTTTCTGTTCAGTACATACCCAAGTATTTGATTCAAGGATACCTCAGTACTGCAACTCCACTGAATGTTCATAGGAATATTATTGAAATCTGATAAAAACTAACCTGCAAAATGCTTCGGAAAAACAAAGTGTTATTGTTTCTTATCTGATTTCAGAAAAGCAACTCTCCTGCTGAGGAAACAGGCCAATAGGGGAGATTCCTTTCTATCCCCGTTTGCAGTTTGCCTTGCTTTTGGCTGAGAGATCTTTGGTGTATTGGTATTTTTAAAGCAATGTATTACGTATAAGAAACTTGGTAAAAATTTCAGTCTTAGTCCTATTCACGAGGCATTTTTCTGAAAAACAACTATAAATGCTAAACAAAGCATAGCAAATGATGAAATGAGAAATCTGTCTGCTCAAATTTGAAGCTTCACAATACCTTCCCATGAAGTCCCAGCTGTCTGTTGACAACAAACAAGGCTCCTGAAGCTCTTCCTCAAAATGTCTAAAATACCTACTTTATGATTACTTTTATGATTATTATTTTATGATTATGGGCCATTCACCACTGTTTTATAGCCCAGCAGCTCATCTGATCTAGATCTCTCTACTTTCTCCTAAATACTTACCTCCAGCCATGCTGCATGTGTACCTTCTCTCTGAAATACACCTTTCCATTGCACTTGCCCAAGCTCACAGCTCACAGCACCTTTTGCCTTCAAAATGGCAGTAAGGTTCTGCTCAGAGGCACTGAAAGCACAGCAGCAAAGTCCTTGTCATAGACCCCAAATTTTACCATTTTATAATCCACTTCTTCCAACTGTCTCTCATGTCAATTAAGCTGATGTGACTTCACTTTCAAGGTTCTCTACAACACAGCCTCCTCAGAGCACCAGCATTCAGCATCACGACAAGGATGCCCATTTTCCCTGTTTCCAAACAGTGGATCTTTTTGAACTTTTCAAACAAGCTTCAACTTTTTCTTCTTCCCAAGCAAAAGCAATTGGAAGAGCTATCTGCAACCTCACCGTTTTTCTTACAGCCTTTCTTTAGATCTGTTGAGATGACAAATCAAATGTTTGGACTACTGGTATGCTGCCAACTGTATTTAGAAAATGCTACTTTGTGTTGCCTTCCTTCTTCCTCTCTGGTCTTTTAGGACTGCAAGACCTTCTACCAAGAAGGAACAGTGTCCTGAGATAAAGTTCCTATAAAACATGTGAGCTATGTATATATTATAAAGAAGGAAAAAGAAAGTCATCTATAATAAGATCAAGGTGAAATTCAACCTACTCTTTAGGCACATCTGTAGAGGCTACTTCTTGTGCTGTGGGCTCTACACTGTTCATTGATCATTCAGCCATATGTTAACAAATCTCAAGAAGTCACAGAGAAAGTGACATAAAACCCCCAAAACTTAGTATAAAAGCAGGTTACGCTTTCCTATGTGCTAACAAATTCTGAAACAATGAACTGCATTTATAAATGGTGAATCCTTGTACATCGGCTTTTGACACTGTTTGACTGCTGTGTTTGTTCGGAGAACAGCAGACTCCCTCTATACTGCAGAAGCTGGAGGTGCTTCATGCTTACAAGTTAGTTACTGAGATATATTCATACCAAACTCATCAACTTTGGAGCTTTTTGATTCATAACGTAATTAATAACACCTTTTATCACCTATTTAATTTCCATTTCCCCTGCTCTTTCTTCCCATTAGCTTAGCAAGGCTCTTTCCTCTTAGAACATGCCTGTTTACAAGAAGGGGGACATAGTCTGGCATTCTTCCACGTAGGCAAACAAAGAAAGACCAGACCCACAAATAGGAAATAGAACTGGATTTGTGCTGTGCTGTGCTGTGCTGTGCAGGAAGTGATAGACGAGGCCAACTTTTTCTTACAGTGATTTAAAATCAAAGAAAACTGGACTAAAAAGAATGAAAGGATTGTTAGGAGAAAAGACAAAAAGTACCTCAAATAAATAGAAACAAGTAATGACTGGCAACTCAAAGTTAGGAGAAATAGAACTGTGTATGATTTTCTGAAGCTGGCAAATAGTTGGCCTGTTAGTCAGTATGGGACTAATTATAGCCAACAAACGTAGAGATTCACAGTGCAGTAAATAAGTAATTATCCCTGTACCTGTATACCAGTTAGTGAATCATGACTGCCTCTCATAGTAACGCTGTAACGCATCAGCTGCTGTGAAGGAAATCACAGAAACCCCGTACAGATGTCAAATCATAACAACTAGGTTGGAAATACTAATTAATACCATTAATTTGTTGAGAATAAAACCACTGTACAATCAAAGGGTTGTTACAATTTTAACTGGTTTTCTTGCCCTTTTTTTTCACATTGCCTTCTCTGTTACCCCCCCGAATCACTTCTTAACTCTCCCTCACTTCCTCATTTCCACAACAGCTCCTTACTTTTAAAACACCTTAAATCAGTATCATACTTTTTGACACAAAGTAAAAGTTTTAATGCTTTACTTTGTAGCCTGTTGCCTGCAAATACCAAACAGGGTGGCACTGGCAATCACTTAAGGATTCCAGCCTTGACGTCATGCCCAAGGAGGCTTGTACACTAGTGGCAAAGTACCACCCAATTCCTCGCTAGGACAAACTTATACAGGCTGTACTCTTGCTATTGTTTATCACAACAGGACTTCCTCAGCATCCCTGGGGAAACAGCAGCAAACATAAAAAGTAGCCATTCACTCCTGCTCCTCCTGGGCCTCAGATGATGCACTCTACCTAAGGACAGAACTACAGACAAATCTGTTAAAATTCAAGAACACTTTAGAGATTGGAAGGGAAAAGCAACAGGCACCACTTTTTCCTCTAACCTCCAGAAGCAATTATGAATACTCTACCTATCCTGTTCTTGCTATGGAGTGCTTACTGAAGAAACAACACACGGTACCATTTGTCAGAAAGTTTACTCGCCCAAATGAATGAGCAGGCTCACATGGAAATCACAGCAAGCTCTCCTCCAACAGCAAAACACTGCTGCAGTGGTGCCTTAAAATGGAAGTGACATCGTAACACAAAGAACCTGACTCAGTGCCAAACAGTGGCAGAATAACGTGGAACTCAGGATGGAGGAGTAATTTCCAGAAATAATTTGGGTTAAGCAAAGAGAAAGCAGGGGAATGAAAGAAAACTTCCCTAGCAAGAAAAAGGCCGCGATTCAATTTCCTTCAACTGCTGACACACAGTACAAACAAGTGAGGAAAAACAGGGACAGATATGGCTTCCACTCTACCTTTACGACATTGACATTGTAACTTTGTGAGCATAACTTTTAAAAAGAAATACTGGGTAGAAGAAGAACCCGGTATCATGTTTTCTAGACTATCAGATCATAGTTTGATTTGCAGCATCTGTAGCTCTGACAAGCCAACAATAGAAGTAATCTTGATTGTGCCAACATTTTATGTTCATTCCTGGCTTTTTGACACCAACAACCTACAAGCATTCTTTCCAAAGCTCATCTGATATCATTTGTGAAACAAATTGCAGACAGCAAAGAAAAGACTGAGAGGTTCAGCCTGGCACACCAGACAGCAAATGATTGCTGAGTGCAGTGGAAATTAACAGGTAAAGACATGCTCTTTTACCAAATTTCTAAGAGGCTAATGGGACAGCACAGATAAGAGCTATTGCAGTATGCAGTTAAGAAAAAAGCCAATTTAGGTTAGTTAAAAATGTTAAGAATTCATGGCCCAGATCCACAATCCACACTCATGTTTACCATCCTACTCAAATCACTAGGGTGCAGCTTAAAGCAAATACAGATGACAGATTCAGTTTGAGTAATGCTCTCCAGCCTCTTCTTCCCTCCTTCTAAAAAACAAAGCACCCAGAAGTGTATGATCATAGTTAACTACGTACTGAAGCAATTACAGATCTAGCATTAAAATAACGAGCAAAGTTTTTATAGACTAACCAAAGTTACTAGTACAATAAGAAAAAATACAAGCTCTCCTACTAACAACCAGTCCCATTCTAAGATACTTACTGTACAGGGAAGATGGGGTTCAATATTGATCTAGCTTCAAATCGACTTGAGAGTTAACATCAGCAGAATGTCATACTGATGATCTTTCTAATGTCTAATAAAATGGTCTGGGGATAACGTGTCTGTTGAGTAACTATCTGCTACCCTATCACCAAAATCACTCCCTTTGCTTAACACACAGTGTTAGTTTCAGACTTTTGCAGGTGAAGGCAGAAAAGGAATGGGTCTTTAATTTTAACCTGTCCTAAAAAGCAAAGAAGAAAGCACTTCATTTGGGCATTTATCTGTTGATTAGCCTGCTCCATTTATAAAATCTCTGCTATGCGAGTCCCCACACAATTAAAGGGCACTTTTCCTGTGACCACAGGCACACAGGAATGTGATACACATCTTTCATTTATTCAGCAGTTATTCTAACTGTCTTCCTCCCCTCTTTTGAAAACTCATGGTAGGGGTTGTTCAGGAAAAAAAAAGGGAACAGCAGCTTCTCAGTGGGTTTTAGTTGCAAATTAGGTTTTTACTAGTTTCCTTAAGAGAATCTATCACATACAGTTCATTTTGCATCATTCCTGGGAAATATATCATAGGTATG